TTTTTGCTAGTTGAGATAAGGATAGCTATACAGGGAGTTGATTCACATTGATTTCCTGTGCATGTGTGTTACCTTCTAGGTTAATTCTTCTTGAACTAACCTTTACTCTAGTTCCTGATCCCCTTCTCCTATTGGCCTCAGTTGCTTTAAAGTATCTGCTTTAGTTTCTCTGTGTTGAGGGCAACAAATGCTATCTAGTTTTTTAGGTGTCTTACCTATCCTTATACCTCCCTGTGTGCTCTCGCTTTATCATGTGATCAAAGTCCAATTCCTTGTTGTGTTTGCCCTTGATCTAATGTCCGCATATGAGGGAGAACATACGATTTTTGGTCTTTTGGGCCAGGCTAACCTCACTCAGAATGATGTTCTCCAATTCCATCCATTTACCAGCGAATGATAACATTTCGTTCTTCTTCATGGCTGCATAAAATTCCATTGTGTATAGATACCACATTTTCTTAATCCATTCGTCAGTGGTGGGGCATCTTGGCTATTTCCATAACTTGGCTATTGTGAATAGTGCTGCATTAAACATGGGTGTGCAGGTGCCTCTGGAGAAACGTGTGTCATATTCTTTTGGGTATATCCCCAAGAGTGGTATTGCTGGATCGTATGGTAGATCAATGTTTGGCTCTTTAAGTAGCCTCCAAATTTTTTTCCAGAGTGGTTGTACTAGTTTACATTCCCACCAGCAGTGTAAGAGGGTTCCTTTTTCCCCCTCCCGAATCCTCGCCGACACCTGTTATTGGTGGTGTTGCTAATTATGGCTATTCTAACAGCCAGGGGTGAGGTGGAATCTTAGTGTGGTTTTAATTTGCATTTCCTTTATTGCTAGAGAAGGTGAGCATTTTTTCATGTGATTTTTTAGCCTTTTTTTTTTTTTAAGTTTTGTTTCATAGAGGGTCTTCCTTGTGTAGCCCAAGCTCCAGGCTGGCCTCAATTCAAGATCCTGATGCCATGCCCTCCTGAGTGCTGGGATTACAGGTGTAATCACACCTGGCTGTTACATAATATTTTAAATAATTTTGTACATGAAAAAAAGTTTTGTGGTACAGAATTTTCCACTTGTGGCATCATTGTTAGCATTTTAAAAGTTTCTAATTTTGACCAGGTGCTGGTGGCTCACACCTGTTATCCTTGCTACTTGGGATGCAGAGGATCAGGAGGATCACAGTTTGAGGCCAGCCCAGGCCAAAAAAGCAAGATCCTATTTCAAAAATACCCAATACAAAAGTGGCGGAGCCAGGTAATAGTGGCTCACGCCTCTAATCCTAGCTACTCAGGAGGCAGAGATCAGTAGGATCTTGGTTCAAAGCCAGCCCATGCAAATAGTTTGAGAGACTGTCTCTACCTCAAAAATGCCTAACACAAAACAGGGCTGGTGAAGTGGCCCGAGTAGTAGAGCTCCCACCTGCCTAGCAAGCATGAGGCCTTGAGTTCAAACCCCAGTATCACCAAGAAAAAAAAATTTTGGTTTTGATTTGGAGCATTTTGGATTGTGGATTTTTTTTTTTTTTGGTAGGTCTGGAGTTTGAACTCAGGGCTTTGTCCTTGCAAAGTAGGTGCTCTACCACTTAAACCACACTTCCAGTCCAGTCCATTTTGCTATAGTTATTTTGGAGATGGAGATGGTGTCTTTCCAACTATTTGCTCAGGCTGGCTTTGAACCATAATTACAGCTAGGATTACAGGTGTGAGCTATCTCACTCAGTGGATTATGGATTTTTGTGACTAGGAATGTTTTGTATTAGCTATGTGTTTTAGTTTACCCATCTGTAAAATGGGGGTGGGGGTGGGGAGAAGTGCCCAGCACCTAGCAGGGCCTGGCCTATTGTAGGTTGAGGAAGTGTTTGAGAGAAAGAAAGGACTGAGGAAGGTCCAGGCCTGCAGAGTCCCTTCCCTCCCCTCTCCCCTCTAAGCAGCTCCTTTCCACATCCCACTGCTGCCCCATCTGCTCCCTTGCAGTGGCTGAAGGACCCAGGGCCTCGGACAGAGAAGCGTACACTGTGCTGCGACATGGTGTGCTTCTTGTTCATCACACCACTGGCTGCGATCTCGGGCTGGCTGTGCCTACGAGGAGCCCAGGACCACCTTCGCCTCCACAGCCGGCTGGAGGCCGTGGGGCTCATCGCCCTTACCATTGCCCTGTTCACCATCTATGTTCTCTGGACGCTGGTGAGTGGCTGCAGTGGACAGTAGACAGTTGGAAGGGCTCCGCTGGGAGCAGCCAGGTAAAGGGTTTGAAGAGGAGGGGCTCTCTGGTTGCCTAAGCATGTGACCCAAGGTGGAAGTGATCTCCTATGCCTTTTGTAGAGCCCCAGATTCTGAGCATGCAAAGGTCCAGGGAGGCCCTGAGGCAGGTGTGAGCCTTCTGCTCCAAAGGTGAGTGGTCACCAGTCCTGAGCCCCTAAGATGGGAGTGGGGAGGAAAAAGAGGGAGAGAGAGAGACAGCAGCAAAAGACTGAAAAAGAAAAAGGCAGAGAGAGGGAAATGGGGGAGATAGATATTAACAAATTGGGGGAAAGTTGGGTATGGTGGTGGGCGCCTGTAAGCTCAGCACTTGGAAGATTGAGACAAGAGGATCATGAGTTCAAGGCTGGCCTGGGTGACATAGTGATATCCTATCTCAAAAAAGAAAAGAAGGAAAGAAAGAAAGACATTGGGGGAGAAATGTTAAGAGACTGATTGGGAGCCTGGTGCAGTAGTGCAAATCTGTCGTCCCAGTTAGTCAGGAGGCTAAGGTAGGAGGATCACCTCTTAGGAGGTTGAGACCAGCTTGGGTCACACAGCTAGTGACTGTCAAAAGAAACTGAGTAGACATGGAGGGACTTAAGCCAAAAGACAGGAAGAAAGAAGCTGGGCTAGAGCAGCTCCTGTAAGCCTAGCTACTTGGGAGGCTGAGATTGAGAGGATCAGGTTCAAATAGTCCCAGCCCAAGAAAATAGTTTGTTAGACCTCATGTCCAAAATAACCAGAGTAGAATGGACTACAGATATGGCTCAAGCAGTAGAGCACCCACTTTGCAAATGTGAACCCTTGAGTTCAAACTCTAGTTCCACAAAAAAAAAAAAAAAAAAAAAAAAAGAAAGAGCATGTGACCGAGTATGTGAGAGAAAGGAATAGAAAGGCTAGGGGAGCAGCTCAGTGGTGGAGCATGTGGATGGCACATGTGAAGCCCTGAGTTCTATACCCAGCGTTGCTAACAAACAGAAAAAGAAATTAGAAGGGACACTCATAGATATGTATAACGTCTATGTTTTTATGTATCAGTGAAAAAAATTAAATTAAAAAAAAAAGCCAGGTGCTGGTGGCTCACGCCTGTAATCCTGGGTACTCAGAAGGCAGAGATCAGAAAGACTATGATGCAAAGCCAGCCCAGGCAAATAGTTTTTGAGACCCTATCTTGAAAAAAACCAACACAAAACAGGACTGGTGGAGTGCCTCAAGTGGTAGAGCACCTGCCTAGCAAACTTGAACAGTTCAAACCCAGTACTGCCAAAAAAAAAAAAAAGAAAAGAAAAAATGAATTGAGACCAAGACCAGAAGTAAGAGTGACAGAGGCAGAGACAGAATGATTAAGGTGGGGGTACTGTTTCAGCATGCACTAGAGAAAGTCCCCCACATTCTCACCCCTCAAACAAACACTGTTGTCTAACTACAGGGGATTCCCCTCATCAAGAAGTGGTCTCCAGTACTTGAAGCGTAACTCAGTGGTAGAGCATGTGCTTAGCATGCAAAAAGCCCTAGGTGCCATCCCCTGCAAAAAAACCCAAAACAAACAAACAACAACAACAAAACACTTTTTCTTTAAGATGTGGTCTCATTGTGTTACTCAGGCTGCCCTTGAACTCTTGGGTTCAATGCCTTAGTGTTTCTTATATCTTGGACTATAGGCCTGTACTACTGTGCTGGACTCTGAAAACTTACTTTTTTTTTTTTCCTGGTGAGACTGAGATTTGAACTCAGGGCTTTGCACTTGCAAAGCAGGTACTGTACCACTTAAGCCACACCTCCTAAAATCTGCTTCTTGAAATAAGTCCTGTATAATGGCTCAAGTCTATAGTCCCAGCTACTTGGGAGGCTGAGGCATAAGGCTACTTGAGCTCAGGAGTTTGAGAACAGCCTGGGAAACATAGTGAGACACCCAACTATAAGTAACTGGTGAACGCGTGCGCGACTGAATGGAAGTTGTTTTCAGTGCATCTGCCAGCACACAGAATTCACGTACCTATAGGGCGACATTTCCTACAACAAACCGTAAATGGTCCCATAGCTTATATTGCCTTACGATGTCAGATTGTGTAAGGATTGTTGATATTTACACAGTGATGAACTGTCTAATGTTGTATTTCTAAGGATAGAGCTCTGTCATTAATTGACCCATGATTGTATTTTTAAAATTGAAACAGCATAAAACCTTAAGTGCTGTTTTCTTTCTTTCTTTTATTTATTTATTTTTTTTGTGGGACTGGGATTTGAAGTCAGGGATTACATGCTTGCAAAGCAGTGCTCTGCCACTTGAGCCACACTTTCAATTGTTCTGGTTATTTTGGAGATAAGGTCTCTTCTCCAACTATTTTCCTGGGCTGGCCTTGAACCGAGATCTTCCTGATCTTAGCCTCCCAAATAGCTAGGATTACATGTGTGAGCTGCTGGCACTGGCTTTTGGTACTGTTTTACAGTCAGCTTGTTTTCACTTTGCTAGTGTCCTTAAAAAAAAAAAAAAAATTGGAACCACTCAGCAATCACTCATGTGTGTACCATATTTATTTAATCAAATTCTTTTTGAGAGACACTGGGATTTTTTCCAGTGTGTTTTCTTTTTTCTTTTGGACAGCACTGGAGTTTGAACTCAGGGATTTGCTTGCACTTGCTAGGCAGGTGCTTTTCCACTTGGGCCACACTGCCAGCCCCTTTTGTTCTGGTTATGAGATAGGATCTTATACTTTTGCCTTTTTTTTTTTTTTTTTTTTTTGTGGTACTGGGGTTTGAACTCCAGGCCTTCACCTTGAGCCATTCCACCAGCCTTTTCTTGTGATGGGTTTTTTCGAGATAGAGTCTCTCAGAACTATTTGCCTGGGCTGGCTTCGAACCTTGATCCTCCTGCTCTCTGCCTCCTGAGTAGATACGACTACAGGTGTGAGCCACCTGTGCCTGGCTTCCCTGGGGTTTTGGTCCTCCTACTTCTGCCTAGTTTAACAGGCGTGTACCACCATGTTCATTCCCCTCCTCTCTCTCTCTCTCTCTCTCTCTCTCTCTCTCTCTCTCTCTCTTTCTCCCCTTCCCTCCCTCTCTCTCTTTTTTTGTGATGCTGAGCATGGAACCTAGGGTCTTCAGAATGCTGGGCAAGTTATACTCCCCACCCCAGACCTGCAATTATTTCTTGAAAACTTGCTTGGTAAAGGGGTATGAACCATTGACCTTTATTTCTAAGTTTTTAAAAGACTTTATTTTTTAGAGTACTTTTTAGCTTTACAGCAAAAGTTAGCAGAAAGCACTGAGAATTCTCATATATCAACCCTCTTCCTACAACGCACACACAGCCTTTCCCACTATTCACCTCTTCCCCCAGAGTGGCACATTCCTTCCAACTGATGAGCTCCCATGGACACACTGTTACTAGCCAGAGTCCATTGCCCACATTAGGCTTTGCTCTTGTATTTGTACATTCTGTGGCTTTGACAAATGTATACTGACATGCATCCATCTATCATAGAGCATATTTTTATCACCCTAAAACTCCTCTGTGCTCCACCTTCATTCCTTCCTCCTCTTCTCTCAACCTTGGCAAACACTGATCTTTTAACTTTCACCATAGTTTTGCCTTTTCCAAGATGTGTTGTTGAAGTCATACGGCACGCTGCCTTTTCCAGATTGGCCTTTGATTTAGTCATATGCATTAAAGGTTTCTCCATGTCTCCTTATGGCTTGATAACTTTCTCTTTCTCTCTCTCTTCCCCTTTGCTCTCTTTCCCTCCCCCTCTCCCCCCTCCCTTTCTTTTTGGCCAGTGCTGAGGATGGAAGCCAGAACCTGGCACATGTTAGGCAAGCATTCTACCACTGAGCCACAACCCCAGCTCTCACTTCTGTTTGTGTTATTTTGACAGTACTGAAATTTGAACTCAGGGCCTCGAGCTTGCTAGGCAGGTGCTCTACCCCTTGGGCCACACCCAGGTCCTTTTTTTCTTTTAGTTATTTTTCAGGTAGGGTTTTGCGTTTTTCCTTGGGGGCCAGCCTCAGACCAAGATCATCCATCTACCGCCCCAATGCACTGGGATTACAGTACACACTACCATACCTGGTTTATTTGTCTAGCTAACTTTTTACCCCGGCTAGTCTCAAACCACAATCATCCCTGTCCTCCTACGCCTGGAGAGTAGCTGGAATATATGGGTTTCAGCTATCATGTCCTGTCTTACAACCATGCACCAGCCCTTTTTGCTTTAGTTATTTTTGGGCTAGGATCCTGCTTTTATGCTTTCAATCCAGCCTGGACCAAGACACTCCTATTTAAGATCTTTTTTTCTTTCTTTTTTTTTTTTTTTGTGGTACCGGGTTTTGAACTCAGGGCCCACACCTTAAGCCACTCCACCAACCCCTTTTTTTTTTTTTTGTGATGGATTCTTTTTCAAGATAGGGTTTCGGAAACTATTTGCCCAGGTTGGCTTTGAACTGCAATACTCCTGATTTCTACTTTATGAGTAGCTAGGATTACAGGCGTGAGCCACCAGCTCCCTGCCATCTTTTTATTGATTGAGATAAGGTTTTGCTGTTTGCTGGGGCTGGCCTTGAAGGAAAACCCTCCCCATCTCCATCTCCAGCTCAGCTTCCTGAGTAGCAGGGACTACAGACTGGAGCCACTGGCGCCCAGTTGCCTCACTTCTTTTTTAGCAGTGTGTAATAATTGTCTGATACACTTATTCAACCATTCACCTATTGAGGTGTATCTTGGTTGCTTCCAACTTGGGGCAATTGTGTGGCTTTCAAGAGGCTGTATGAGTCCATCTCAATTGAAAGCAAAAGGGGAGCTCCTTGCACCCTGCTAGGGTGGGGGGAGGGATCCTTCAGTTTTACAAGACTCAAAGCTTCGGCTGCGGAGTATCCCCAGTGGACAGAATGGGGGAGTTTGTGCCCGGATGTGGCTCTGACGGTAGCTGGCCGCTGGTTGGGCTACTGCAGGTGCCATAGGCCCCTTTCCTCCCTTGGTGGTGGAGGCCCTCTCGACTTTTCCACTCACTGTGGATCTGCCCCGCAGGTCTCTTTTCGATACCATTGCCAGTTGTATTCCGAGTGGAGAAGGACCAACCAGAAAGTAAGGCTGAAGATCCGGGACGCTGATGGCTCTGAGGATCCGCACCACTCCCCCTGGCAGCTGGACTCCTCAAAAAGGTGGCAGAGGAGACGCCTGTATGAAGGCAGGCTATAGCCAGAGTCAGCTGGCGATGCCTTGGAGTTTGGAAGGACGGAGACTGCCCGACCCTTCTTGCACGGCCAGAATGCTTCTCAGGCCAAGAGCCGGGCCAAGCAGAGCCAATCTGTGATCCTTTCAGGTTTTTTTGCACACTAGTACATGAGAAGGACAGACGGACGTGGTCCTGAGCTTCGTATGGGACAGGCAGGCACCCCGATCTCATTCTGAGGTCCGTTTGATGCGTCCTGGGCCAGCAGCTGTGGCCGGTGCGTCAAGGGTGCCCATTGGGATGGAAGGTTCCAGCAAGCTTCTTGCGCTTCTCTGCACCTGGCAGGCTTGCTTTCCTGGCACTCTTGACTTATAAAGTTGCACTGCGTTTCAAAAACCCACCCCTGAATGAATAAAAGGAGCCCTTGCTGGACAAAATGAACTTGTCAGGTTACATTTTAAACCATTCAAAGTGAAGGACGATATTGGAATAAAAAAATAATGCTTGGCTTGTTTTGAAGGGTCTCTTATGGAGGCCACAGGAAGAAGCAAAGACTGAGTTTTCAAGTGAAAAGCAGGTAGCAGGGTTATATAATAAATGGTTAGTTGGGTGTGGTGGCAAATGTCTGAAAACCAAGACCTGGGGGCTGAAGCAGGAAGATTATGAGTTCCAGGCCAGCCTGGGCTACATAACCAGATACTGACTCAAATAAATGAATAAATAAGCTGGGCACTAGTGGCTCATGCCTGTCGTCTTAGCTACTTCAGAGACTGAGATCAGGTGGATCACAGTTCTTGGTCAGCCTGGGCAAATAATTGGTGAGACCTCATCTCCAAAGTAATCACAGCAAAACAGACTGGAGGTGTGGCTCAAGTGGTAGTGTGCTGCTTCCCTGAATTCAAGCCCCAAGTCCCACAAAAAAAAAAAAAAAATTAAGAACATACAAGGGCTAGAAGTGTAGCTCAGTGGTTAAAATTGTGCTAGCCTACATGAGGCCCTAGATTCCATCCCCAGTACCTACTAAAAAGAAAGATACGTAAGAATGATTTCCATTTAGCTTGTACCTCCCTCGGGCCAGATACCATGTTGATCCCTTAATTCTCACTAATGACTAATGTTGATACTACCACACTTTCCTGAGATCGCCATGGATGAGGCCCAGTTCTGAGCCTTCTCAGATTTTTCCCCTCTGATTCTTGCTACCATTCTTTGGGGGAATGAACAGTTATCACTACATTTTATAGATGAGAAGTCTAAGGCAAAGTGCAGGAAAGTCTTAGGAAGTGGGGATCCCAAGATCTGCACTGCCCCAGTGCTAAGCTTTAGTGTCCTGCTTCCCAGGATACTTAGAAAAGAAGCAGAATGTTGTCTTGCTAATAATAACACTCACTGCTTTTTTTATTTTTTGGTGGTACTGGGGTTTGAACCAGGGCCTTACACTTGGTAGGCAGGCACTCTACCACTTGAGCTACTCCATCAGTCCTTTTTTGTTTTGGGTATTTTTGATGTAGGGTCTCTCGAGCTAGTTGTCGGGGCTGGCTTTGAGCTGAAGTCCTCTTGATCTATGCCACCTGAGTAGCTAGGATTACAGCCATTAGTCACTGGTGCCTGGCCAGCACCTACTTCTTGAGCACTTTTTGCATGTGGAGTTGTTTACATTCCAGGGTTCTTGACATCTGCCTGAATTTGATGCCCAGAGCAGCCCTGTGGATTCTGGGCGAGTTCTCGTATTAACTCTATTTGCAGATGAGCACACAACCTCAGAGCAGTGAGGTCACTTGCTCAAGGTTACACATCCCTGATGGGTTTAGCACAATATCTAGCACTTCCTGTTTTCTACACAAATCCTGTCTGACACATAGCTCACCCACAGAGGAAGAAAAACTGTTTTTGCCCTGCCTGGAAGGGTAAGAAGTCAGTTTTGCAAAGGGCAAAGTCTCAGAGGCTGGAAACTGCTTGTCCTGTAGGAAAGCAGTGAGGAAGACCTCCATGGCTGGAGCAGTGTGACTGAGGCCTGAGGGGCAGGGCTCAGAGAGATGGGCAGGACCTCCCTAAACACCTAGGCATCTGGTGACTGGTGAGCTGGTTATCTGCAGAAACACAGGATCACACCCACGCACATTAGCCATGCTGGCCCTTGGGGGCCCTCCTGGCATCAGCAGCTTGACTCCCTACACAGCCTGGAATCCACTTCCCCACATGCCAACTTTGAGTATGGCACCCCTTGGAGATGATACAAAAGGATGCCCTAGGAGATGCCATCAGGAAGACAGTCGTTTCCTTTGCAAATCTCTTTTAATATTTTCAATTACATTGAGGACAAAATTTTAGTTTGATGTTAGCCTGTCTGTAAGAATCCTCTGAACCTTCCAGGAACCACCGAGGGGCACACTTTCGGTGCCCCTCTGACCCAGCCCTGGTTACAGAAAGCTTAATTGACTAGGTCTGGGTGTGTGCATGTAGGTGTGAAAGGGAGACACTTCTACAGGACTTCGAGGACGGGCGGAGTATCCTACGTCTAAACACAAGTTCGTCGCGGGAATGAATGAATCTACAGCGGCTAGTCTGCGCCTGCGGGTGGAGAGGGGCGTGGACTAAGGACGGGGGCGTGGCCCAAGGAGGGAGGGGAAGAAGCGGGAGCCGGTTGCGGCGCGCGCAGGCGTTACTGGTCGCGCCGGGGTCACGTGAGCGCGCAGGCGCAGCGCCGCGTAGCCCGCTCGCTCACACAAAGCCCAGACGCGGAGAAAATGGCGGCAGGGGTCGAAGCAGCGGCCGAGGTGGCGGCGACGGAGCCCAAAATGGAGGAAGAGAGCGGCACGCCCGGCGTGCCGAGCGGCAACGGGGCTCCGGGCCCGAAGGGGTGAGTATGCCTCGGTTCCTTCTCCCGGGCTGGGGTTTCTCTCGGCGGCCGGCGGCAGCTCCGTTAGGTTTGTTGGCGGCCACCCCCCTGGCGCGGCCTCGGCTGGCTTTCCCAGCCAGGGTTGAGGGCGGCTGAGGCTGTGAGATGGGGAGCCTGGCTGCCGCAGGAGTACCTTTAGGGTCGCCCCCTATCGCCAGACGTTGGGCTCAGCTCCTTAAGCCCCTCCCGGGCTGTTCCGACGTTCTTGGCGAGGCCTCCGGCCAGGCCACTGCGCGCGGGAGTGATGGCGCGGGCCCGGGAGACGGAGAACCCCGAGTCCGAGGCTCGCTTTACTGTTCGCCTGTGGACTGACGGTGGGCGCGTGGTTTCAACCCCCGCCATGCAGTCCCGGGTCTCAGTTTCCCTATCCGAGAAGTGGGGGGAGGGGAGCAAGTGCGCGCGAAGGGCCTCGCGCGCGGTCCGCTGGGGTAAACGGCTGCAGAGCCGGGTCCAGGTTCCTGCTCTGCTTCCTCTCCCCCACCTCCACCCCCTACCCCCTACTCCCCACCTCCTACCCCCTACCCCCTACCCCAGCCACCCGGGTACCCCGCCCCGCGGGTAGTGTGCTTCCCTCGGAACCGCTCCTGGCCCGGGCTCGAGTCCCTCTCCGCTTCCTGCTCGGCGTCCCCAGGTGCGCAGTAGGTTTTAGTGGAGAGATCAGACCTGCTGCTGCTTAGAAACAAACAAAAAGTGTGTGCGGGGGACCTCTTTCGCGGGAAGATAATTCTCTTACTAAGATCACTCACTTTCCGACTCTGTCATCTTTTCGTTTCCTGCTCTGGGTTCTGTCTAGAATCCCGGGTGTTTAAAGTTTTCCGTAAAAGAGGAAAGGATCAACTTGTGCTCCCGTGGAATCCATCTTACACTGATTGTAATAATTTGAGAAAGGTTCGGAGAATTGTTTTGGACCCAAGATCACAGTCGTGAGAAGGATTGGGAAGGCCGAGCCCACATTGGATTTCCGTTTCCCCAGTTTTTTCCCCACTATTGTGGTAAACTAAACATAAGATTTGTCATTTTAACTATTAAAGTTAAGTGGCATAGAGAACATTGACAATTTTGTGCAGCTATCAAAACTATCCGTATTCAGAACTTTTTCACCATCCCAAACAAAATGTAGTCGTTACTGAATACTAACTCTTCTTTTCTTCTGGTAATATCTAGTCTAGGTCTTTGAATTTCCCTTTCTTCAAATTTTTAACGTGGGAAACATGGTAGATTCTGGGGACTGAAAATGAATATTCTTAAACACTTCACCTTAATGAGCACTCACTAAGTACTGGTTACATTGTTTTTGGACAACATACCTTGAGAAAATTCCAGATCCTTTGTCTTCTTAGGTGGGGAGGAACAAAATAAGCACAGTTAACTATCCTTAGAAATCAAGAAAGAGGGCTGGGCATGTTGAGGTCAGTGTTGAGTGCTTACCTAGAATGTTAGGGCCCTGGGTTCAATCCCCAGTACCGCCCCCCCCCCCAAAAAAAAAGAGGGTTAGAGGCTGGCTTAAGTGGTAGAGCACTTGCCTAGCAATGTGTGAAGACCTGAGTTCAAATGCCAGTACCATCAAAAAAAAAAAAAAGTGTCTTCTAAGTATTCCCAGCTGTTTAGTGTTAACCTTTGGAGAGGGATGTGCTCATTCTTCCTACATTGTAGTGGCGGTGGCTGGGGATTGAACTCAGGGCCTTGAACATGTTAGGCTAGCACAGTACACTGAGCCACACTCCCAGCATCATTTGTACTTTTTTCAGCATTTTTCTTAGGGGAGGGGGCCCTTGTAGGATTTTTGAGAGCCCTGTTTAGAAGGCCTTAAAAGATAATTTATTTCCATATAAAGGGTGGAGTACTGCTAGAACCTTTCTAGGTAAGAGTTGAAGTAGTTATTAGTTATAAATTATATCACGGGGGGTGGAGGGTACTTTTTATTGTTGGCTTTGGACTCAGGGCTTTGCTCTTCTTAGGCAGTGGGGGACACATTTTCACATTTTCCACTGTCAGTTTTCAAACAGCCATCTTGTGACCGAATCATTTGGCAAACAATATGTGGACAGAAAGTTTTAGAGATGAAATAGCCTTTGTTGGAAAAAGCCTGAGCCTGAAACTAGCTTAGTAGAGGATACTTAAGGAGACTGACAACACCTAGATCTTTTTTGTAAGGTCTTGGAAATGTTATCTTTGCATTGTAAAGTTCTTGACACGAGACTCTGTAAGTACATACCCAGAGGAGGGAAGCTGGTTAATATTTTTGTAGTAATTATGCTGTGTTCAAAGTTGCAGGGTAAGGAGAATGGAACCCCTCCTCATCCTCCTGGGGCCAAGATGCCTTTCTTTAGGAGGAGGAGGAAGGCGAGAATATGATTGAGATGAGGCAGACCAGACTGTGAGCAAAGACCAAAGCACTTGGGAATAGGTTTATTTATTTATTTATTTATTTGCAGTACTGGGGCTTGAACCCAGGGCCTACAACCTTGAGTCACTCCTCCAGCCCTTTTTTGTGAAGGGTTTTTCTGAGATAGGATCTTGCCCAGGCTGGTTT